TAATTACATTTTAATCTATATATCACAGGGTAGTCAAGCTACGTAGAACCACAACTGCTAGCTTGAAATGAGTGAAAATGAGAGATTTTCAGGGGGAGTGCTGGCTGTGTTTTCACTGTGCCTTTAGAGCAGACTGGGTGGGTGGTCAAATCTTTCCTCTCCCTCCCTTCCCCCTTCTTTCTCCAGGTGAGGAGAGAGAGAGGGAGAGAGAGACACTTGCGCTTCCTCTCTCTCTCTCTCTTTCCTCTCTCTTTCTCTCTATCTTTTTTTCTTTACCCTCTCCCTCTCTCTTTCCTCTCCCTCCCTCCCCCCTTCTTTCTCCAGGTGAGGAGAGAGAAAGAGAGGGGGAGAGAGAGGCACTTGCGCTTCCTCTCTCTCTCTCTTTCCTCTCTCTTTCTCTCTTTTTCTCTTTCCCCTCTCACTCTCTTTCCTCTCCCTCCCTCCCCCTTTCTCCAGGTGAGGAGAGAGAGAGAGGGAGAGAGAGGCACTTGCGCTTCCTCTCTCTTTCCTCTCTCTTTCTCTCTCTTTTTCTCTTTCTCCTCTCCCTCTCTCTTTCCTCTCCCTTCCTCCCCCCTTCTTTCTCCAGGTGAGAAGAGAGGGAGAGAGAGGCACTTGTGCTTCCTCTCTCTCTTTCCTCTCTCTTTCTCTCTCTCTCTCTTTCCCCTCTCCTTCTCTCTTTCCTCTCCCTCCCCCCTTCTTTCTCCAGGTGAGGAGAGAGAAAGAGAGGGAGAGGGGGAGAGAGAGGCACTTGCGCTTCCTCTCTCTCTCTTTCCTCTCTCTCTCTTTTTCTCTTTCCCCTCTTCCTCTCTCTTTCCTCTCCCTCCCCATCTTCTTCTCACCTCACATTCTTCGCTGACAAAGCAGCCGGGAGTCTGGCGCGCCTTCCCAGCCAGCTGGGCCAATGGTCCTGCAGCTGGAGATCGCAGGGGCTGCTCTCTCTCAGGGCCGTGGCTTGCGGGAAGGCTGGCCTGCTCAGCAGAGGCTCTGGCAGGCTGCTCCCAGCGGGGATTCCAGGCTTCCCCGTGCGGTTCCCCGACCACGTGTACCTCGGACGGGGCCAGCCAGGGAAAGGGACTTCCGGGCCGCGCTTCTCCCAGAGGGCGGGGCGCCCGGGCACAGGGCCAATCAGGAGCCCTGCGAGGGGGCAAATCCGCATGAGAGAGAAAGAGAGAGAGAAGCACAAGTGCCTCTCTCTGTCTCTCTCTACAAATGGCGGAGGACGCTCGGAGCTGCAGGGGAAGGCTCAAAAGTGTCCCCAAAACATCTCGCTCCATCGCCCCCCTATTGCCCCCTTTTCGTTCCATCGCCCCCACGCCGCCCCTTTTCGTTCCATCGCCCCCCTGAAAAATGAAATCGCCCCCTGGGGGGCGGTACCGCCCAGGTTAAGAACCACTGGACTAGAAGACCTCCAAGGTCCCTTACAAACTCCTATCCTATCCTGTCCTATCCTATCCTATCCTATTCTATATTTCTATTCTATTCTATTTTCTATTCTATTCTATTGTATTGTATTCTATTGTATTATATTATATTATTACATTATATTATATTGTATTATTTCTATTCTAATTCTTATTCTATTCTATTTATTATATTATTATTTCTATTCTAATTCTTATTCTATTCTATTCTATATTATTTCTATTCTAATTCTTATTCTTTATTCTACATTCTATTCTATTATTATATTATATTATTACATTACATTACATTATATTGTATTATTTCTATTCTAATTCTTATTATATTCTATTCTTATATTATATATTATTTCTATTCTAATTCTTGTTCTTATTCTAATCTAATCTAATCTAATTTTATTCTATATTCCGTTCCATTCTATTCTATTCTGTGGTAATTCTGTTTTATTTCTGTTCTATTTTATTCTATTCTATTCTTCCGCTGAGTCGGAAGCCCC